AGCCCTGTTTCACTCCACTTCAGATGTCAAAGGGATTTGATGCTGAGTCATCAAAAACAACACTGCCCTTCATTTCCTCATGAAACGACCTGACGATATTAAGGAGTCGAGGTGGACATCCAATCTTGGGAAGTATTTTAAAAAGGCTGTCCGTGCTAACCAAATCAAAGGCTTTTGTGAGATCCATGAAGGCCACAAAGACTGGCTGTCGTTGTTCCCTAGATTTCTCCTGCAACTGTCTGAGGGAAAATACCATGTCAGTGGTGGATCTATTAGCTCGAAATCCACACTGTGATTCTGGATAGACTCTGTCTGCAAGCACATGGAGCCTCTTCAGCACAACATGGGCAAGCAGCTTCCCTACAATGCTGAGAAGAGAGATGCCACGGTAGTTAATGCAGTCCCCTGTCACCCTTTTCACACTGGTGAATTCTAGAGCCCCCAGATTGTAAGCATTTGCAGAGTTCAGCCCTTATCCAACGACCACACCCGTACATAGTTCAGTAAACACAGCCTGCCATTTACTCTTCCCCTAATTTCTCTCCTGCACTGACCGTGTTAAGACAAAGACATCCAGCAAAGAAGCTGCAGTTGTGAGGCGGTACCATGTAGTCCCAATCCACCAATATAACAGTCCAAAAAAACGCCCTGTAAGAAAGATCAGAAACAATATAAAAAGCAATCGCCATTTTGATATTCACCATCTGGGACTCCTCCCTCTTCCTGCTCCTGCCAGAATGCCACTTCCCTTCATCTACTCTGCAACCCCTCAGAAGCGTTTCCAGGCAAAAGTCTTCCTTCATTGGCTATACAGGAAAATCTGAGCAACCCTGAGAAACCAGGAGGAAGAAACTTTTTTGAACTCTCAAGTTGCTCTTCTGCTGACTAAGAGAAGATGCTTTTATCTTACGGAACTTCAAATAATGAAACAGATAAAGCAGAATTTATCAGGATAATTGACTGCATTCCTTATCAGCATAAACAAGCACTGTTTCCTGCCACACTGTATGAGCTGATTTAATTAGCAATACCAGGACAATAGATGCCCCTTTCAGAAACTTACCTACTCGAAATTAATATCAAATAAGGGGGAAATCGAGACTATTTGGTACACATGCATGCACACGTGCATATCCTGGTCATGTTGTTCAGCTCTATTACCCACCACACACTAGATGGGTAAATCCTGAAATAACAGAGTCTGCTCTGTTTGTCTTAGTTCTGAGCAGAGAGGAAGAGGTTACCACTTGTGCACCTTGCTTCTTAGCTATTACACTTCATGTGCTTGTTTAGGCTAGGAGCCAATGGGTCACCAGGCTTGCACAATTACAATTTATGCAAGCTGTTGCACTTTTTCCATCTTGAGCAAGAAGGCATTCAAGACTTCCTTATGCAAGCATGGCCCCATGTCATGTCACACTTTTTGCCTGTGTTGTGTCAATGCAAGACCAAGTTATAAGTAGCTTTTCCACTTACCAGGTGAGGTAGCCACGAGCCACAGAAAAGAGCCTACTTTGGAGAGTGCATTCTTGAACCTAGAAGCAGAAGCATTCTGGTCTGAGTAAGTGTGACCTGTGGGAAACAGTACAATTTGTCAGGAAATTAGGCATCATTCGTTCAGTCGCCCCTCCTTATTATTTACATGCTGCCTTTCTTCCCATAGGGACCCAAGGCAGCTCACAACAGATAAAACAACAGATTTAAAAACACTACTTAAACATCATATTTAAAAGAACAATTCGTATTTTAAAAATCAAGTTTAAAAACAATTTAAAAAATTTAAAAATCTGTAAGTTAAAAACCAGCATTCCTCAGACAATTTACTGCTTAAAAGCTTGAAGGAGCCAAACTGGTTCCTCAGGACAATGCATTCCAAATCCTAGGAGCAACTACTGAGAGGGCCCTCGCTCCTGTCCTTACCAAACAAGCTTGGGAAGGTGGTGGAACCGAGAGAAGGGTCTGCCCAGAAGGTCATATGAGGTAACATCCTTCATCTCGTCATCTCTTTCTCCCTCCAACCCCTCGGCTTGGAAATGACATTTATTTCTGCATGAATCTGCTACTCTTTTGCTTAAAGTTAGATGAACACCAGACTAAGGAACTATAGAGGACTGCTTTGGGGGGTTAGAAATGAATCTAATTCTTCCAGGCCACAGCTTGTGTATATCTTGACTAAACCAAGAATGGAAGCAGAGGCAGCAAGATGGTCATCTATTTTTCTTAATCCACTGTCTGATTTAAGTGCAGGAGCATCAGCAAAATGTATGGTGACTTATCTTGGGATGGCGGGCTATTGCAAATTTTTTTGAGTAATCCAGACTTTACCCGAGATTCCACCTCCAATATACGTTAGCCCCACTAATACAAAGAGAGGTGAAGACCCTCAATTTCAGAACACACATACTAGTTCAGAATATGCATACCTTTCTGGATGCTTCAGCTATGCATATTTATTTTACATAAATGGGAGGGCTGGGGAGACGCATTGGGTGGCTCGGTGGCCCGTGGACCACACAAGTTTCACCCCTGCCTTTATGACAAAGAACCCACTGATACCTGTGTAGTCGTCCTCAGAGGAGTATCCTGATGAAGAAGCATAGGTGTCATAGATCTTCCGTTCTGCCAGTCCATTGAATTTTTTATTGGTCATGTCCGTGCCTCCAATGCCTCTTCTGCTTCTCATGGACAGATCCTTGCCTGATCAGGAAGCACAACCTTGCTTAGAAAGAAGTTCTGGGCATGGTCAATCTCATCTCAGTGTGTGCACACAGATGTGAACACAGAATAGAACACAAAACATTTATTCAAGGAAGCCACACCATTCAAGAAAACATTTAAACACAGCTTAGAAGTTGAGCACTCCTTTGCTCCCTTAATGTATTGGGGGGGGGGATGGTTAGAATTCTCTGCTCCCCCTTCACTTTTTTAAGTAGAACAAAGCAGTGAATGCACTGGATAATGATGATGATAAAAAGTCCTTTATAAAACACCATAGGATTTGAGAATCTAATTGGCTGGCAATACCAATATAGTTTATAGAAGACATTCAAATTCAAAATAGAAACCAATGAACCAAAGCCATAATTACCTAGATAAAATAAAAGCCCATCAGTGAGAAGATGCTTTACCTTTATTGATATTTTTTGCTACCTTCCTTTATAAAAACCTGATACTCATCCCATTTATAACAGGCATATTAAGTCCACTGCTAAATAATGAGTCAACACTTATGTACACAGCACTGATTCAGTGGGTATACTCTAGTTGGGATTAATAACTGAATTCAGGACAAAATGTTTGTAATATTTTGGCACTTTTGTTATGTATTTTAATTATCTCAATGTTTTGGTGGTCTCTGGCTGAAAAGCGGCATAAAAATGAACAAGACAGTACAACACAACATATTCTTATGTTGCACAATTATTCTGTAAAGATGTCCATTCCAAGTGCTCTGTGCAGCAGAGTTAATACTATACTGCCATAGTATACTGCCAAATAAGTAAAATATAAATAGGGAGCATACAGAGTGACTGTCCAGGATTTCTACAAATGCCAAACCTGTGGCTTTCTAAATGTTGTTGGACTCCATCTCCCATCAGTCCCCGAGTGCATGGCCAATGGTCAAGAACAATGGGAACCGTAGTCCAAGAACATCTGAAGGACCACTGGTTCTTCAGTTCTGATCTAAACTACACAGATGATAAATACTCACTCCAGTAAGAACTGCTGTCCAGCGGATCATCCAAGGCAGTGCTACTTCTGAGGGAAAGTCCTCTGCCATCATCATTCAGGAAAGTCTCACTGACCACAGACTCATAGTAGGAGCTGGTGTGAGTGGCAGGGCTGGTTCCCAGGCTAGGGGCTGGAGAGGGGCGTTTCACACTGCTGGATTTTCTTCTCAAGTTCCTGCTGCAAAAGACAAAAACAGGAATTAGGTGACATACTGGCGACATGAGACACACAGGTAGGTGACCCCACATTACATGTGCACCAGTGGGCCTTCTCAAACAACACTGATGCTGTTTGGTAAGTGACCACAGATAAACTCTTACCACTGAACAGCAGTATCTGCAGATGTCCCAGAATTGAACTGAGTAGGAGACAGAAAAGGAGGATGGAAGGATGCCTGTTTAAGATTATTAGGAGCTAGGAGGTTATTCCATGTGATAAACCGCCCATAAGTAGTGCTTGTTCAGAAGCAAAGCTTGGATAACTTTTCCTTTCAAATTACAACGCCTATAATTTATTTTTGTATTTGATTCATACCCACCTATCTGGACTGCTCATCCACTCTAGGCAGGGGAAGACCACTATATTTGTAGAATGCCTCCACCAGCATTGCTACTGTGGAATTCTGGGAATTGTAGTCCAACACTATGCAGAATAAGGAAAGGCAGGGGAAGACCACTGTATCTGTATGTGTGAGTGAAACTGAGCACTTGTGAAAGTTGAGATAATTGGGAGCCACATGACAGATATGGGGTGGTCCTACCCCCTTTGGGTTGTGACCCCACTGCTGGCATTCAGACCCAGTATGTTTGTTCATAGTAATTCAGCTCCATGCACACGAGTTATCCTGTGTTATTTTACACCCTGGGGCAAACAAAGGCCCTAAAGCAACTCAGAACAATAAAAATTTTGCCTCATACGATTATTTTTTAAATCTCTACCCTTTGACACAGATTAGACTGAGATCAGCCAAAAGCGCCACTTGGGCCTGCTAATTATGGGGCAGCAAAATGTTGAGGGGGATCGCTGGGTCATACGGCCCGCCTCGCTCCCTCTAAGTCGCCTTTGACATTTGTTGGTGTTACGCAAAGAACCAACTGCCCTGTCAGAGAAGTGAAAGTGTAGGGCAAGAAAGGACCACTGTGCACATAACATATGTGTGACAACTTTTGTACAAGGAACTCCAGGCTGGCCCTACACATGAGTGTTGTGGGGGAAAGAAACATCTGGCAAAAGGTGGGTCGTTCTTACTCTACCGTGTCCTTAAATAATTTTTCTTTGGAAGGTATTTTCCTTTTCACCACTGTTGCATGGATGTGGACATTCACTGATCCTTGTATGCTGTAATGGGTTGCACATTCACAACCCTGGAGTCTTCACGGTTACTTTTTCAAAAGCCATTTGTTCCTATTACTTGTTTGTGTTTTAAGATTAACCTAATCATTACTTTTTGTTGTTAAAAAACACAATTATACAATCGCAAAAACCTGAAAAACACCGCTTTAAAAGTGACATTGGAAGAACTAGGAAATATATTTACTATGCCAATAAAGTAACTGTGTTTCCCTTGACTGTGTTAGCTTTACATTATGACTAGCCAATGAGGTAAACCCAAGGGACTTCTATCACAGGAGGAGACTAATAAAGTACAACCAGAAATTGCTTTTCGTACAGAATTACGAGAAACTGCAGGAAATAAGCCCTTCACTGTTGAGGAGAGATTTGAGCATGTTTTTTTTTAAATAGGACAAGCAGCTATTTCTGCTTGGCCTAGAAAATGTTAAGAAGCAGTGGGAGTGTGTGTGTGTGGAAATTCAGATAGGGGCCAAGCTAATATAGCAAAGAAGATGCACTCAAGACAAAGAACGCTCTGCCTTCTCTTTCTCCCACCACTGTTTCCTCTCCAGTCACTTTGGGTTTCCTGAATAGGCTTTTGCAAAGAACAGGTGCTTGTAGAGGAACAGGAAGGAAGTTGACTCTCCTGTGACACTGCTACAGTTTTCCTCGCAAAGCAAGGGGCAGAGTACGGACATATGCAAGATCTCTTTGTTTATCACCCAGAACCCCGTTCCAATCAGCCCTGGCCACCCGAACATTGGCCTTCTAGTTAGGGATGATGAGGGTTGGAGTCCAAGGCATCTGAAGGATGTCAGGTTTGGAAAAGTTGCTTTACTGTGCCAAACTACTTTTTGATTGATCAAAAAACTTTTAGTGGCTTTGGAAATGACACATCAAAACAGCAGACAGAGGAGCCGCAAATTTCGTCTAATACCACCCATCCTTTTTGGCCACACTAGATTTTGATCCAGCTGCAAATAGCACAAAGTGAAATGAACAACAAAGAAAAGAGGGTGGAGCAGAGATCATTCCTCCTTGTGCCAAGGCCCTGCCCTTCACTTTGTCCTTCTCCCCAGAAATAGTAAAAGAACTAGAAAAAATATCTCTGCAATGCCCCCTGACCCCCAAAAATCCACGAAATAAGCTGTGCATCAAGGATTGCCTCTGTTGTTATTTGGAAGGAACACGAGAGGCCTGAGGAAACAAGGAACATTACAGGAAGTCAGAGTTAAACTGCATGCTATGTTATATATTCACTAAAGTATATACATTCACTAAAGTATATACATAAATAGATACATAACACATGTAGTTTACTCTGATTTATTGTAATGTATAATATACATGAGTGTAACACACACACACATCCCCAGTATGTAAGTTGTCTTTGTTCAAAGCAAGCACAAGGAGTTCCAGTATGGATAAAGACAATAATGTGTAGATGGGGAAGCTTCTACTATCCCACCAAACTGCTTCCCTCCTTAAATTCTGCCAAAATGCCACAGGAGCTAAAAAAAGAAGAAGTGTGTATGTGGACCTTCCATAGATGGCAGTTGAGGATTTCTCTGCTGATTTTTGCCCCCACACAGGGAGGGGGGTGAATTTTAGCAGGGAAAGCACTGCAGGGAGAAACATATTCTGGAATGATAAAAGAAAGTGAGACTAGGCAACATACTATATGTTCAGGATAGCATGTAGCTCAGTGCTCTGATGTGGAAGTACTTCCCAAGAATCATATTAGAAGGGCACAAACATAAGACTCTTCTAACAATCTCTGTGAAATCCTTTGAGTTACTCTGCACAACAGATATTTAATAATAGCATGGGTAATGTGATGCAGAACTAAGGCAAGCTCAGTAGCACTGCACTGCCTTAAAATACAGCAACACTGAGCGATAGTCTGTGATAATCCGTGTTCTAGATGTACTATTTACCAAACTCAACTCTCAATGTTGAAATTTTAAAGCAAAGGTTGAAAACCAAAAAAGATTTCAACATGCAAGGTCAAGTTCTTGATAAAGTGACTGGTCGTATGTAAAATATGAAAGACTCAGAACCACTGCTGTAAATTACCATTTGCCACTTAGAGATGTAGAAAGCACCAGGCTTCCACGCCTACCCATTCAAAGAAATGCTATGAACACTCAAGGGGAACACCCAGGCTCTCCTTTCCTTTCCTTCTACTTACCTATTGGAACTGTCTTTAAACAAGGACTGCTGTCCACCAAGCAGTGAGCTCCCTCCACTACTGCTGCTGTTGCCATCATCTTCACTTTGGAAATAATGAACAGTCCCACCCAGGCGCTGGCTTCGTCGGGACATGATCAAAGAAACCAGTCCTTTGTCCAGATGCCTAGGAAAGCAACAGAGGAAAGAGGAGATAAGAACTGCAACATCATCAGCTAACACTCAATTAATGGTACAGTATTCCTTCTTGATAGAAGGAAGGGATGAATATATGTACATTGAGGCAGAAAAAGAAAAAGTCCTTAGAGATGTCTTAGAAACATAACAGCTCTGCTGGATCAAGTCAAAGGCCCAATTTGGTCCATCATTTTGATTCTTCTTAGTGGCAAACCGGATTTCAAATCATCCCCAAAACACCTGATACCATCTACTTCCAGAAGGCAAAGTCTGGAGGCTTAGCCTACGGTCGTACTTTTTATGACCAGGAAATACGAAGTTCTTTAGAAAGGTCTAAGAAACACCAGGATCTCCATCTAGGGCTAGGAAACCAGCCTGCCTGTGAAATCTTGTAGAGCTGCTGCAATACTTGGGTAGATGAATCAGTGGTCTGACCTGCTATACAAGGTTTCCTATGTTCTTGGTGTTCTTCTAAGGAAAAGCATCTCTTCCCTGCTCTTTAACCACCATGCCACTTTGATCTCATCTAACTTTGGAAGCTAAATAGGGTTGAACCTGGTTAGTACAGTACTTGGATGGGAGGTCTCCAGGCGATATTAACATCTCCCAGGGAGGGACAGAAAGTTTCCTGCCTTAATCCCTGGAGAACTACTGCCAGCCAAAGCTGACAATACTAAGTGAGTGGTGAAACACAGTATAAGACAGTTTTCTGTCTACTTATGGATTCAAGCTATGCCTCTGGAATGTCCATGAGCAGGGCACAAAAGCAAGAGACATCTCCAATGGCTTCTTATATCCTAGGCAGGAGAGCACAACTTTTTTGGGTCCTGAGAGCTACATCCAGTGTTGGCCGGAAAGGGAGGGTCACACATGTGCACAAGCTTCCTGATGTTTCCCGCAGCACATAGCAATCTGAAATCTAGGGACCAGTGACTGGTGGTGAAGATAAACAATTCTGTGCTCCAAACGTCCTGGAAACTGAGAAAGAGCATTCTGCCACCACTTCAGCCCAGATAAAATATGAGTGGGCATCCTCCAGCTTTGCAGGCCACATAGAGCTGGTTGCAGCTGTAGGTCTGTGCACTTCTAAGCATACTGCCTCTACACAAGACAGCAAGGGTGATGCCACCATTATAACCCAGTGATACGTACAGTAATTTCATATTCCAAGACTTTGCCAGATCGATGAGTGGGCATCCTCCAGCTTTGCCGCCACATAGAGCACAGAAAGAGGGAGACCACATGCTGGTTGCAGCTGTAGGTTTGTGCACTTTTAAGCATACTGCCTCTAAACAAGACAGCCAGGATGATACCGCCATTATAACCCAGTGATAATTTCATATTCCAAGACTTTGCCAGATCCCCTGTTAAATTTTTGAACTACTGGTCATCTCCCTGTCTTGTAGCTATCAATCCCACACATGAAGCATGTGTATTCTGCTTCCTTCAACTAGTCAGATTATTTACTGATTTGATTTGGAGCCGGTCTTTCTCCCCAATTTGGGACTAACATCCATCCTGAATCCATGCAGGGCATGACCCTGAAATCTAGCAACAGGGAAAATGGAGAAGAACATCTCTATTTTCTCTAACTTGGGGATAAAAAAACATAAGGTCACTCTAGAGGTCGTTGGACTCTGCTTCCATTTGACCCAGTAAACATGACCAGTAGTCAGGAATTATGAGAGTTTATTCACTTACAGTGGACCCTTGACTTACAGACGGCTTGACTTACAGACTTTTTGAGTTACAGACTTCTCTGGCCGCAAAATTTAGGTTTGACTTGCAGACTGAGATTTGACTTACAGACCAGAAAAAAACCAAAATGGAACAAAAACGGCCTGTTACGGGATTAATCGGTTTTCAATGCACTGTAGGTCAATGGAGACTTGACTTACAGACTTTTTGACTTGAGAACCGCCTTCCAATACGGATTAAGTTCTCAAAAAAAACAAAATGGAACAAAAACGGCCTGTTACGGGATTAATCGGTTTTCAATGCACTGTAGGTCAATGGAGACTTGACTTACAGACTTTTTGACTTGAGAACCGCCTTCCAATATGGATTAAGTTCTCAAGTCAAGACTCCACTGTATATGTTAGAAACATAACTGAATTATGCTAAGGAATAGATTGGCAGCTAGTGGACTATTGTAACGGGGGTTATGTGATCCTTGTCTCCAGACTCAGTTAGCAATCTGGCTGCTGCATTTTGCCTTTCAGAACCAATGCAGGTAAGAGGTGTCTTAAATGTATTACAGTGGGGTCTTGACTTGAGAACTTAATCCGTATTGGAAGGCGGTTCTCAAGTCAAAAAGT